GGTTTCGTAGCTGTGTGACAAATCGTTTGTCGTAGATAGAAAATAGTAAGATTACAGTGACCCTAAGATTTTGTGCAATCGGTCTTAAATACACCCCTGTGTGATACGACGCGTGCCGTAGTGACAGAACTTGCAAGCGGTCGTCGGCTCCGTTTGAGCCGGTTTTATTTTATTTTTATTCGCAAATTTCGACTCTATGGACGGCTACAATATCTATGCAGGCTACTATAACAGTACTGCTCTCATATTCTCAGAAAAATGGAATGGATAGTAAACATGTCGCCCATTCATTTTTTTAAGTCACTTTTTATAAGCAATTCTAAAAAATATGGTATTATATACAAAATATATGTATTGATAAACCACAAGTATAGACACGTAACCTAGTACATATTTTAGATTTATTCGTTAAAATTTTGAGACACATCATCAACTTTTTTGGGAGTACATGAATTTTCATTAACCATTTACTATATCCACGATAACCGTAAAGAGTTGCAAGATTTCAGAACATTCAGTTCTCCAAGTTCAATGTCAAATTGCAAAATATGCTGTACACAGTTTTTATTTTTTCCAAAAAATATGCCTATCTGTGGTAATAACTCAAGATGAATTCTTAAATCACTCATGCAGGTGTATGTTATTTTATACAATTTTGTTAAGAGTTATTCGACAAACTTGGAAGATGACGTTTTCAATTTTTATGGAAGCCGTAAACGGATAAATTTTGATGAACAATTTACCATGCTTCATTGCAAGACTTCATAGCATTCGGTTTTGCAATTTGAAACTTAAAAATTGTAGAAAGCCGTTATACAATTTTGATTCTTTTTACAAAAATCGGGATCTCTGTAGTATAAAACCTACATGAATTCATAAATCAGAAGTAGAGCAGTATGTTATTTTATAAAATTTAATTAACATGTGCTCTTGTAAATTTTGCAGATGATGCTGATGGGGATGATTAGACAAATTTTGGTTAGCATTATACCATCTACACGATATTTCTAATGTAAAATACAAAATTTGACAACGATCGGTCTGGTAGTTTTGAAAATTATCTGTCTATAAAAATTGTCACAGATGACGAACAGACAAACAGACAGATAAACAGATAGGCCGGAACGGGAAACTTAGTAGAAAGTTTTCGTGCTCTATCGTCGACAAAACATGAAATTAGCCAGTCACCTGATGGACTCGATTACAATATTTTCTTAGCTTACGCTCGGGAAATACAATATAACAAATTTCTTTACACATTTGCATGAATTTATATAAATATGTACTTATTTAGTCATATCAACATTTTTTGAAAATATCAGTTGCACCAAATTTCTGCAGGCGATTTAATATGATGTCAAGAATAATATGAAAGACGTTTTTTTGCACAGGGGCACAAATTAGAAGAAGGCGCGGTTTGCATAATTTGATAACTAAGTATATTTGTCAAAACTTAATTGCCTATAAATTACTTAGTTAAAATTGTTCTCTTATCAAATTATCTTAAATATTAGCATATATTGTCTTTATACAAAATTTTAACAAAATCCAAAATAAGGGAATAAAGATTTTTTAAGGATTCTGAAATATGATCTCTTCTAAAAATGTTGTTCCACAGACTATTAAAAACTACACTCAGTTTACTGTCTACGAAATATGAGACCAGTAACCAATTAATTTACAAGGAACATTGTCTTTTTGTATGTGACTTCTTTTCAGCGAGAATCTGTACAAAAGTAACTTAAATTTTGAAATCAGATATCAAATATACAGGGTCGCTAAAAAGTATGAAAGCAGTTGAAATATCGCGAGAACGGTTTATTGAATCTTTTTGAAATTTGAGCTGTCCCTAGGAATACTCAAGTTCTATGTTTTGCTATATTTTCAAATTCTATACTTTTCTTTATTTCTTTTGATATGCAGGGCTAATTTAATTTTATTTAAATAGCACTCGTAATCAGATGTTCCGTTTTTAAACAGTGCATTTTTTTTCTAAATTCAGATATATTCAAATAAAAATACTGGAAACCAGAAAATCGTAGGTAGCCTTCAACAATACTATCGCCGATCAGAGTCCTGGCGTAGGACATTTATTCAAAATTTATACTATCACTGTAAAAATTATGAAACTGAGGATATATAGACTGAAAAGGTGGCGGTGTAAATGCTGTTAATATTTGTAAATAGTGTATACATTGTAATCAAAGCTTTTTGAAAAATTTAAATAAAAAATCACATTATTGAAAAAAGATCAAATTAATATTTATTTAAAAACAATAATTTAAAACAAATGTTCGAAATGTTTTTCATTTATTTTCTCGCAATAGTAAATACGTTGCACAAAGTTTTCAAACGAATCTGTTAAAATATTAGGAGGAATATCAGCAATCACATTTAATATTATTTCTTGGAGTTGTTCCATGCTTTGTGCTTTATTAACATAAACTCGGTTTTTTGTATAATACCACAGAAAAAATCTAGTGGGGTTAAATCCGGTCACCTAGCTGGCCACTCAACTGCTCCCCTTCGTCTTATCCACCATCCAGGAGAATTTTCATTCAAGATGCTGTATTTGCCGTCAGAAGTGCAGTGGTGCTCCATCTATTTGGAACCAGATGGACTCTGCAGGTAAATTTGGGATTTCATAGTTAGAAAATATTTGTCTGAATAATAATAATGGTTTATTTAGTACAGATACAAAAGGTGTAGATCGGCCACGTCAACATAAAGTTTATGAATTAACAAATTCCTCAATATTATAATAGGCATTTAGGTTTAAGTGCATCTTAACCTTACTCTTAAATAAACCTACGCTTAACCTATCACAATTTACTATAATTTTCCTAATTTTACTGTAACATAAAAGGAGCAATACTTTGTTGTAAAAGTTGGAGGTATTTGTCAGCTGTTAAATTTCCGTTAATGAAGAAGGGGCCTACAATGTGGCGACCAATAATGCCGCATCAAACATTAATTTTTTGGGGGTAGTGTGTATGAACCTCATACATCCAGTGTGGATTTGTATTGGACCAGTATCTACAGTTATGGCGATTAACATGCCCATTCAATCAAAAAGTGGGCTCGTCAGAAAATAATAATTGGTTTTTTCACTAGCAGCCATGAAGCATGCAAAGGTCGACTCATTTAGAGGTAGCAAATTCGACTTTTGCGACCACGGGTTCAAAAAGAAGATTGAGGTTATGTACGCAATACTTGATGTGATTATTTCTTAAAAAATGAATAAATATGTGCTACTAACGTTACTTGAGTATACGCATGGTAGTTGGTAGACGGTAGAAGATAAAATGATTAATTCAGCGACAAGTGTAAACGGTTTTCTTTGTGTTGAAAATTTAGATTAAGTTTGATTAGAAATCAAAACAAAATCATGTTGCGTCAAAAAATTGAACGTTTATTTTTTCAATTTATTGTCTTATGGTTTCTACTAGTGAAAAAAATAGTATATTAACCACGGTTGTAAAGTCACTTCTAGACCTCGCGCTTCAGAGCCCTCGACGCTGCGCGTCTCGGGTTCTAATTTGCGCTCGGTGGAAGAATGCTTGGCTTTGCAACCTTGACAAATAATATACTATTATGAAATTGCCATCCTGATGTATGTAGTTTGTCTGGCATATATGTCGCGTAATTCAATTTTACAGTCAAAGTCATCCTCACTCAATTTTCGTTGTAAATGGATTTTGTTTGGATGATATTTTTCCCTCTTGAATATTTTTTGAACCGAGCCTCCACTCATATTGTGGTTTAATGCCTATTGCTGCACTGAAATTTTTGGATTTTTAGTTACATCTGAGATGAAATTGTGAGAGTTTTCGTTATTTGTAACATTTTTTGGTATTCCGATTCTCTGACATTTCTAGAATTACCAGTTTCGTTAAATCTGCACCATGTTTTTGAAACCGTCGACCTAGAGACTTTGTTCTAGATTGGGATGAGTTTCATTAAAAATCATCAAGATTTCTATTTGCTCAGTTTCTGTTAATGATGCCATTTTAGTGTTTTAGTGAAATATTTTTAAACCTGAATGTAGACGTTTGATTTTGAGTGCACACTGACAAATCGATGACAGTATTTTCTAAGTTAACTACAATTTTCTATTGACGATTCGACCAATGGTGCTATTTGAAAATAATCAACTTAGCCTTGCATCTTGAAAACAAATGAAGTTTAAATTTGAACATTTTTAAGTTATAGCCCAAATTTCCAGAAGATCCACCTAGCCAACTGTTTCCATACTTTTTAGCAACCTGTACCGTACAACTTTGGTATTAAAAACATACAGTGCACTTTATAGTAGGTACATATATCTCTTTTTTAGAAATAAGTATCTAAATTTTTGTTATTACTAATGTGAATTATTTATCATTAGATACCGTTGCGACACATATTCCTTAAAACACATAAATCAATCATAAAGACAAATAACGTCATCAAAATAACGTATCACTGTGTTCATAAATAGCAATCAAATTTGTGAGTTTGATTTTTGAATAATGAAGTTGCAAAAATCATGTTCCAATGATTAATGGATTATCATTATTCTTTCTGTTAATCTCAAATCATGTCCTTGTTTGGAAGATTAGCTGAAGACTTTATTATTGGTTCTTGCCCGTATTTTCCTACTTTCTTTAGCCTAAATATATTTTATAAACACTGAATACTGTTAATGATTAAAATTTTCAATTTTATGTTAGAAATATGTATATTTCATATTTGCTAATGTATGACAAATGAAACTTTCGGTATAACAAATGCAATACACCGATGTGAAGAGAAATAAATATTAATTAACTTAGTAATAATAATAAAGAAATAAATATTATTTTTTGCGGACGAGGACTTAAGGCAAAGTTATAAACACAGTTTGGTGTAAACATTCGACTGCCAAAATGCGTCCTCATTTTTAACGATATCTTAGCCACATTGTCTTGTTGGTAAATCATACAATAATCCAGTATTTTTACTTTGCAATAATTCCTTACCATATGGTGACGTTCTTTGGAAACCCGCTCCATCGTAAGCCCTCCACGAACTCATCATCATGTTTTGAGCATAAAACTGTCCTGCTGATAAAGCACCAGCATGTGGAGATGTGCCTAAAGTGTGTGCTGCAGGAGCTGCCATTTCACCGTAAGTTCCACCAGCGTGAGGCCAGCTACTCTGATGAGCAGCTGCACCGAAATGTCCGCTTGCAGGTGAGGGATACTGAGGAACTGCTCTGCTGCTCGGAACGTACACAGGCGATTGTTGTAGATGCTGATGAAATCCTGCGTTGCCGTCGCTGTAGCCTCCACCGCCTCCGCTTGAGTGGAACATTATGGTTGAAGGCGACGACGGGCTTTTATTTCTTAGTCATCTGGAACAATTTGTTTTATTACACAGACGAATCAAGATTATTAGAAGCCTTGAAAACAAAAGCGTGAGAGCAAACCAGAAAATAAGCTCAATTAGATTTTCAAAAAATCGGTAACGTTAAAATATTTCTTTCACCTTGACTTGGGTCTTGACATAAATATAGGCAGATGGCAACAGCAAAAGTAAATAAGATGGTGTCAACTTTCTAAATAAATCAGTTTTGATTATTGTTCTGTTCAAAATTAGATTAGATTTTTTTATTAAAAAAAAAGAATCTTGACGACTTTCGACTGGATGTGTTTCACGAAAATTCTGTCTATATGTTTATATATCTGTCCTATGAATATAAATTAATCACATGAGAAAACTCATCAATCAAAATTCTTAAGATTACACACGTCAAAAAAAAATTGAAAAAACTAATATATTATCGGTGTTGTTAAGATAAATAGAGGTACGCACTTTATTTTGGTATCAATTAACTCAAATTGTAATCTACCCATAGAGCCACTATAAAAAAATCTAAAACGTTACATTTTCAAATATCGATATTCCAGTTTTGTTTTTGAAATCTTGCAGACGTTTTAAAGTTATTGTAAGCATGGTAAATTGTTAATCGAAATATATCTGTTTATTCCCTCCCAAAAATTGATGACGTCATCCCAAAATTTTGCCGAATAAATTCTACCCAAAATGTGCAAAATATGATGAGTTTTTACTTGTGATTTACCATAGCATTCATATTTTTTAGATTTGCCTAAACAGGTGGCTCAATAAAATTCATGAATGAGTCAATTTATTTTATTCATTAAATCAGGAACGTCTCACTTCTCACTCCATTTTCCCAAACTCAACTCGAAAACGTTGGATGTGTCATTGTACTTCAGGAGCAAGGGAAGTTCTGGCGAAACAACTTTCGACCAGTTCTTTTTATACGGAAGATTAAGGTAAAAAAACATGCTGAATTCATAAGGCATATATGTAGAAAAGTATATTATTTTACAAATTTTTAATAATATTTACTATGCAAAATTTTGAAACAACATCATCAAATTGTTGGTGAGAATGGTCAGACAAATTCTGATTAGCGTTTTAGCACATAGGTATGTAGTTTACAAAATGTACGTTTGCTTCGCGACGCTGACACCTTGTATGATTGCCGTTTAAACTAAAAACAATGGCGCTTTCAGAATTTCAATATTTCTATCTGTTCTCGAGATATAAGGCAGCGGAGTTTTAACTGAGACACCTGTATATAAATCAACACTTTAAAAAAACAATTTTGTTGTCAGTTAAAAAAAATTGGTGGGAAGTAATTTGGACAGAATTTCCCTCGTCCCTGAAGTACAGTACAATAAATCCAGATTCTTCGAAAAATTATAGATTTGATTTAGCAGATTTTATATGTTTTATAATAACCTAAGTTAAAATAAAAATATGTAGCTGTACCTACATGATCGTTTTCCGGGTTGAGACCGTGTTAATTGAGTTTTTGGGTGGCATCTTCAGGAACAGGGTTAAGAATAAAGCAATAGAGCACGGTAACTCAGTAACCCTGCTCCTGAAGATGCCGCTTAAGAAAGTGTGCGAAACGTTCAGCCCAAAAACTCAATTAACACGGTCCGAACCCGGAAAACGATCATGTATTGATTCCGACCGTGCAAGCCTCCGAAATTATATGTAGCTGTGTATGTTAAAGCAAAGATAAAGAAACATGCTATGCGTTTTCAAGTGAGTTATTCCATTACAAAATTTTGTGATGACGTCATCAACATTTTTTGCAAGGACACATATCAATTTGGATAGATGCAGTGTAATACCGAGGGATCGAAAAAGAAATTAGTCAAAGTTGGCCATGCACGACAAGCCATTTGTCTTGATTAAAATGTTTGTATTAAATGTCAAATTGACAGTTTAAAATTAGAATTATGACACCTACTTTTAAAACACATAAAAATGAACCAAAATCAATAACAAACATAATCATTTATTTATAGAAGCTGTTGAACATGTTGTCCATCGGTTTCTCAACATAAACGGAGGCGTCGTTTCACATTTTCAGAAACCTGGACGAGCATTTCAGGTGTAATGGTTTCCAATTGTCTCACAAGTAAGATTCTAACGAAAAAACGTGACGTCTAATAAAAAATTATTTTAAACTAAGACAAACGACTTTTCGTGCATGGCCAACTTTGACTAATTTCTTTTTCGATCTCTCGGTATAATAGTAACAGCATTATTGTATTCACAAATTTTTGGGGAGAATCGACTAAGTAGTTCTTAATTTAATTACCTAATACAATAAACTGCCTCATTCATTTTTTTTTTGTTATCTTGTATAAATAATTCTAAAAACAATGAGTGTATTGATAAACCACAAGTATTGAGTCACAATATTTTGAATATTTCAGAGAAGATTTATTCGGCAAAATTTTGAGATCACGTCATCAATTTTTTGAAAGGGGATAAACGAATAAAGTTTGATTAACGATTTACCATGATTACGATAAACGATGATCTTAAATCGTTTGCAAGATTTCAGAGCATTCAATTTTGTTGTTGCAAAGTTAAATTACAAAATGCTATACAATTTAGATTTTTTTTTTTTTCAAAAATCTGCGTCTCTAGGGTGAAATCTCAACACCATAAGTACAAAACTATCTTATTTTACAAAAATAAAAACAAATTTACATTGTGAATTTTAGAGATGACGTCGTCAAATTGTAGGTTAGCGTTTTACCATCTAGATGATAGTCCGAATATATATTCAAAATTTAACAACAGTCGGTTCGTACTCTAGAGGTCATAACACATGAAGAAAATGTGAAACACTTAGAAAGTAAAAAAATCGACAATGGCGTAGGTATATTAATAGGTACATAATTACCTATTATACAGAAATAGATAGATACAACTTTATTTTTATCAAGCATACCTATTGCTTTCAGAATATTTGAAACTGATGTCAAGCTTATTTAATTTGAAGATTAACCTGTCAAATACAGCATGCAATTATACAAAGTGCAATTAACCAACATTCTTCAAAAAGTTTTTTTTTGTTTCAATCTTTTATTACGAACTTTAACCAAATGTTAAATAATGCAAGGTAATTATAAAAAATCGTACATCAAATGGAATTTGAAATTTCGTGAATTTGAGGTAACTTACACGTATCAAATTTACACACACAAATTACGTAAGTTTTTGTAGAACCGGGCGCGTTATGTCAGTTTATGATATTTTTAAATAAACTTTCGTGTAGATTTTCCACCGCGTAATTCGTTTCTTGTACATTTGGCACTCTTTATCGATGAAAGAAGTACCACGTACTGTATATTTGAAATTTATAAATAATTACCCCGTTTAATCATTATTCGCGTAGCAGTAATCTGACAGCGATCTTGCAGTTTCGTAACACTACCTTCCAAAGTTGTTGAGAAAGATAATTTTTGTTTGGTGTAATTCTACAGTGAAGTTACATTAATGAGTTTCCGGTACCCGAATGTTATTATGTTAATCATTAATTTGTAATCAAGACGCTCGTACATTTTCCATAATTTATTGCTAGCAGTCATGAGTATACGAGATGCATTAGAGGGAAATAAAATAAATCTTCCTCCATTAGAAGCGTCGTAATTTAGAACGCAAGGTTGGGCGTAGTGGAGTGTTTTGGTGTATGGCGAAGTATTTGTGGTATGTTTCAAAGGTTGGGTAGGGTTGTACCGCTGAAAGTCATTAGTGAAGTCGCGAGCAGGATTGTAAGATGTGCAGTAAGCTCGGCAGACATAAAGTTGAACCATTTCCAGGAACTCGCACCAGACCACTCACTTTGCAATCTGCTTTACTGATTTACGCCGCCGTCATCTTATCGGAACACTAGGTTGTTTATAACTCTGATGCGCCGGGAATCGGAATCTTAAGAGGCCAAATATTGGCCTGTTTCTAAAAACAGAATCAAATATGCCGACCAACTACACCACTCTCAGCTTCCGAAAGTAATTTGATGAAGTTTCTCCGATGCGCGTATGGTATGTAAGTAAGTACAATGCGTAACCCATTTTTTGAATTGTTACTTGAATATTGCTTTGAATTTTTGTTTCGCCGCATTTCGTAAACGCAAATTTTCCAATCTGTAAAATATCGCGTCGCAAAAGCGTTACATTAATAGAAATTAAATTGAAAACAACTTAGTGGCTCTTTTATTGGTTAATGCTTGCTTTAATACAGATACAGCATGGTAAAGTATAAAATTCATGAAATCTTTATTAGTGCAGATACCTAATAACGAAAAAATCCAAAAACAGTTCTTGAGGGTAAATTGCAGGCTTCATTAAATTCTATTCAACGTGCTCAAATGTCTTGCCACGGCAACGCTATTATGTGGCCGATATTTTTTTTAGGGCTTCAGTTCTTTCCGTGTCCTTGAAGCACAACTTTGAAACGATAAGACTAAGTTTTGATATACATAATGTAATGGTGGAGGATTTAAAAACGTACAAGTTTTATACTACTTGAACCAAAAATATTAAGTATAATAGAGAACTTAACGCATAACAATATTTTATCTGGGACCTTCATGATAATCACTTATTATGACGGATATTTAAGTTATGTAATCTTCAATATTATTTCACTAGTGGTGTAATGAAATTCATTACACAAGTCATTTTGATCTTCAAGAATAAATTTATAAATATAGAGATGGAACAGTTTATTTAAGTAAATCACAAACAGTAAACCATTTATGTATTAGGGTAACTATAAATATTAGTAACAATATTTTCACAATTAGATATATTGATAACAGCTGATATGGATAGCTATGCCGTGTTTTTACTCTCTATTTATAGTGATATGTATTGTTCGTACAAGAACTACTTGTCATAATTTACCTTAAACTTGTAGTCACTTTTTTTTATTTTCTTTTGATGTACCCCTCCGCCACTGTATTCGATTTCCAGCCTCCATGGCGTTTTGTGGCTAAGAGGTTTGCTCCATAGT